TCCCAGTCTCTTTGGTGGTCAGAGACTACTTTGGCCAGATAACGGTTGATAGTTCTGTTCATGCGTTCAACCATCCCATCGGATTGTGGATGTAGAGCAGTCGTCCTGGTCTTGCGGATGTTCAGGACTTCACAGACGCCTTGGAACAGATTGGACTCAAAGTTTCTTCCCTGATCTGAATGAAGCTCCATGGGAACACCAAACCTGCAGATCCATTCTTTAACAAGGGCATCAGCAATCGTGGACGCTTCTTGATTTGGCAACGCGTAGGCCTCGACCCATTTGCTGAAGTAATCCATTACTACCACAATGTATTTGTTGCCATCGTTCGTCTCCGGGAAAGGACCAGCCACGTCGATCGCTATTCGTTCGAAGGGACTACCAACATTGTACTGGCGCATAGGGGCTTTACCACGCTTTTGTGGCCCATTAATGGCTGCGCAAATGTCACATTTCTTACACCAGGCCCTCACATCTTCTTTGCAGTTCACCCAGTAGAACCGTTCACGCAGCTTGCCAAGTGTCTTGGTAACACCAAGATGTCTCCGCTGGTTCCATTGTGAACTTCCTCCAAGACTTCTGGGACCCTCTTCTTTGGAATGACGATCTGCCTTCTCTCTTCTTGTCCCTCGGGTCTCTCGATCACACGGCGAAGTAGTCCGTTATCTATTACCAAGGAATTCCACTGGGCCCAGTACGACTTCACGTTCGGCGAATATCTGCAAACTTCTTCCCACGTTGGTCTTTGGCCTGCGTTTTTCTAGTTAATTACTAAACCTAATTCTGGGTCACTGGTTTGGTCATTTGCAAGATCTTCGGGTTGCCAACTATCATTAACTACAGTTGTTCTTAGGAGTTTCGCTTCCTTCTCTTCTGCTCGGGAACAATGCTTACAGTCCTTAGCGCAAGGTCTTCTGGAAAGTGCGTCGGCATTTCGATGGATTGCCCCAGCTCGATGTTCTGTGTCGAAGTCAAATTCTTGTAATCGTTCAATCCATCTAGCTAGCTGCCCTTCAGGATTCTTAAACTGCACCAGCCATTTCAAAGCAGCATGGTCTGTTCTTAACAAGAACTTTCTTCCATAGAGATACTTGTAGAAGTATTCCACTGCTTTAACTACTGCTAGTAATTCTCGTCTGGTTACACAGTAGTTCCTTCCCGGTTTTGACAAGGTCTTACTAAAATAACCAATGACTTTTTCTTGGCCATCCTGGATCTGAGACAGAACAACGCCTAACCCAACATTGCTAGCGTCGGTATCCAATATAAAGTTTCCGTTGCCAAGAGGATAGCTAAGTATGGGCGCACTAGTCAGGTCCTTCTTCAATTTTCGGAATGCCTCGTCAGAATCTGAGTCCCAAGAGAAACGCCTCTCGCCTTCGGTAAGTCTGGTCAATGGTTTTGCGATGGTGGCGAAACCCTGTACATAGCGGCGATAATATGTGCATAGTCCCAAAAAGCTTCGTAGTTCATGTTTATCTTTAGGTATTGGCCACTCTTCCACTGTCTTGGTCTTCTGTAGATCTACCGCAACTCCTTGGGAGGAGACTACATGTCCCAAGTTTCAAACCAGAGCTCCCTAGTCGCTTGAAAACTTCTTCCAAATTCTTCAGATGATCGTCAAAGGATTTCCCAACCACTATGATGTCATCCAGGTACACTAAACAGGTAGTCCAGGATAGACCCTTTAACACAGACTCCATTAGTCTCTCAAAGGTAGCTGGCGCGTTGCACAATCCAAAAGGCATGACGGTAAATTGCCACAGTCCGGTGCCCACCGAGAACGCTGTCTTCTCTCTGTCTTTCGGCGCCATGTGACTTGCCAATATCCACTCTTCAGATCTAACGTAGAGAATATCGTTGACCCCGCCAGTGTGTCTAGAGTATCGTCTATCCTCGGCAGGGGATAGCTATCCTTCTTGGTACCATTATTGAGCTGCCGATAATCAACACAGAATCTGGTGGTACCGTCTTTCTTCTTTACTAGTACTACCGGCGATGTCCACGGGCTGTTAGATGGTTCGATGACACCCTCTTCTTTCATTTCTCGAAGGATTTTATCAGCTTCTTCACGTTTGGCGAGCGGAAGTCTTCTCGGATTTTGTTTGATTGGTCGTGCTTCTCCGGTATCAATTTTATGTTGTACTAAATTGGTACGACCTCTGTGTCCTGCTTCTCCTTTATCAAACACATCTTGATACTTGATTATCAGGTTTCCCAATTTTCTACTATTTTCGGGAGATAATCCCTTAACGTTTACTAACTCCTTCACCATTTTGTCCGGAATTTTTGAAGTCGAAACTTTGGAGGCTTCCACGCTTCGAACGACTGAGGAGACCGAACAACAGTACCCTAAGAGGGTTCCCTTCTTCAAGGATACAGAATAATAATTCGTATTCATTACTCTCACCGGTACAGTTTTCTTCGCTCGTAGCAGGGCATTTCCAACAGCGATCCCCCGTCCTATTTCGCTGTCATGGTTCCTTGGCTCCAACAGAATAATACTCCCATTATTCATTTTACCTTCCAGGCAACCATCCAAAAATATCTCACAGCGCTCAGGGATCGAAACATCTTCTGCTACTACCACGCGAAGCGTCTCCTCACATTTTCGATGTAGAACCACTTCTTCTTCATTTATTTTTAAAATTCCCTGTTTGAAGTTTAGTTCAAAACCTTTAGTGGCCATGATGTCCATTCCGAGAATAAGTTCATCTTCGATATCTGCTACTAACACTGGATGTTCAAAACTGGTGCTCCCAATAACAAAATTAAGGTTTACTTCTCCATGGACAGCAGCGGAGCCCCCCGTAGCAGTACGTAGTCGCCATTGTGTTGTTTTAACCTTCTTCGATGTTTTAAGAATGTCCGGTCTGATAATAGTTTTCGTCGCTCCTGTATCCAACAGCATAGTCCGGAACTCTCCATCAACAAAACCATCCACAAACATGCTGTTGAATTTGTGTTGTAGCGAGGCGACTCGAGCAGTTTTCGTTGGGGCATGTTGGGTACAGGTCGACGTGTGCCCCTTCATTTCGACCCTTAGTAGTTTTCCGACCTCGACGAAGCCGGTTCTTCGTTCTTCTCCTTACAACGGCTTCGCACGTGTCCTACCTGTCCGCAGTTCCAGCAATGAATCAGTCCCTTCTTGCCCATGTACTGGTCCATTACTTTCCGAACAATCCCTTCCACGGATTCGTCGGAACATTCGTCGATGGCCCGTACTCTTCCTAAAGACCGAGAACTTTGTTTCGCGGCCTCGAATTCTAGGGCAGTGCTAAAGCATCCACCAAATTGCGTTAGATTGGGCTAGGAGAAGTGCTTGTCTTGTCTCGTTATCACGTAAGCCGTCGGAGAATGCCAACTCGCTCCATAACATTCTCTGGCGTAGCAGGGTACGCAAGGCGAACGAGGCGGGCTTACGTCGGTTTTTCAAACTCCTGCAGAGACTCATTTGACTTTTGAATGCGATTTTTTTAGCTGGGAATGATAGACATGTTCCAAATGAGCTTGGCCGTACCTCATTTCTAAATGTCGTTGTTACCAATTGCTGATAATCTCCCCTGTTCCGATGGTGACAATGTCTGCAGGATATCAGTCGCATCTCGCAGTGCGACAGTCAAAGCGGTAGCCTTTTCAGCGATTGTCCATCCGTTCGCTCTCGCAGCGGCTCCCAAACTGGCAAAAATAATTGGCCCAAGCGGTTTTTCCGTCAAACTGTGGAGGCTTAATAACTGACTTTGAGATATACTTATTTTCGACTAGTTTCGGTGCCTCCGATGTTTCTTGACATTTTGGTGAATTGGCCTTTTCTATTTCTTGTTTTAAAATTTCGATTTTTCTATTTACATCTTCCTCAATCTCCGTTATTTTGTCTTGTAGTTCCGTAGAATTCTCTATAATCTTATTGTTTAAACTTTCTTCTAAATTAAGTATTTTGTCATTGAAACTGGCTTGTAGATCTTTAGAATTTTCTATGATTTTATCCTCTAAAATATTAATTAAATCCTGGGAATTTTCCATAATTTTATCTTTCAAACTGTCTTCTAATTTTTGAGAATTCTCTGTGATTTTATCTTCTAAATTAACTTCCAAGTCAATTATTTTACTATTCAAATTGTCGTTTAAATTGTCTTGCAATTCCCGGGAATTTTCTGTAATTTTGTCATTCAAACTGTCTTCTAATTTTTGAGAGTTTTCCGTCATTTTAGCTTCTAATTTTTGTAGGCACGAGTCAAGGTCACCTTCGAACTCAAAGCAAAATGTGTCCGGATCCTCGCCTTCCTCCCTTAAAACGTCTCTCAGTCTGGTTTGCAAAATGCTTTTCTTTCCATCTGTCTCGCACTCTCTCTCTTCCAATATGGATTTCAGTTCGGACACTTTCAAGTCTTTCAACAATTTCTTCGCAGCCATTGTTAGTCTTTTTATTTTTCTAGTCTATCACACACGCCACACCTGACACCAATTGTTACGTTTTTCGTCGGTTCCGTGTGGATAGAAAGTCACAATTTATTTAAACACTATTTATTTAACACTAATGAACAAAAATAATAACGATAAAAGACTTATAGAACTATTTACAAACGATTTATAACTAAGAATTTATTTTGAATTTTAGCGCGTCAACTGTATATTTATATTATAACTGCCCTCTCTAGGCCACTGCCGCCGGCTTTTTATACCGACAGGTAAAAGAAATCTAGAATAGTCCAAAAGATCGTTAGGCGCATAGAGAAGGTTTTCGAATGTTCTCGTATGTACGAGTCCATTCTAGTGGGTCTCGATTCTTCTCGAACGAATGAATCATTGCGGTGTCTATGCGATGTTAAGGTCATCCGAGGGCGGGCCATATTGTGAGGTTAGGTCGAGTCCACACCGGCTCGCAACAATATATTAGTAGTAGTGTCTCTATGTTTAATTTCTTTATTGTAAGAATCTAAAAACCTATTTACGTTGTTCTGAAAATATTAATAATTATTTTTTAAAAATCTACTTTTCAGGAGGATTTTGTGGACGTCACTTTGGCGTGCGATGGCTGTTCCTTCACTGCTCACAAGGTGGTGCTGTCGGCGTGCAGTCCGTACTTCCGCAGACTGCTCAAGGCCAACCCTTGCCAGCATCCCATCGTTATCCTTAGGGATGTTCAAAAGAAAGACATGGAGAGTTTATTAAGGTAAATAAAAAGAAGTTTTGGATTTCAAGAGTTCTTAAAATCTATGGAGTGGTTATAATGAGCATAAGATTATTTTGATCGGTCCATAGACTTTAATAATGTAGTAGTATTTACTTAAGTTAGACTAGATTATATTTCTTGATTTGGCTATTGTCCTGTTTGACTGTTACTTTTACATATTTGTTGTGGTATTCTTCTTATATTTAAGATACAATTCCGTCTGCAAAAATTGTGACATCCTTGGATTAGTCCTGTAAAATTGTATCGCCGTATAGAGAGTGAAAATAAAAAAATTACGGGCAAGCTGATTTTTTCAGAGTTTGTCAGCGACTATCTTCTGAGTGTAAAATTAACAAAATCGGAAATTTTTCCCTTGCGGTTTTTGAGCTATAGGGGTGGTTTTTTTAAAACTGTACTACAACAATATAATTAGACGCAAATTGTACATAAGAACATTCTCTATAAGTTCGCCTAATGATTTTTTTTATAAGTTTATTATTTCCGGACTTGGCGGCCGTTTTAGGTGGTTTTCAAAAAGTTTGTTTTACAGCAAATTGACCCGTATGAAAGTTGTTCATAATAAATGGACAAGCAACTTTTCCTCATGATTTTTTTTTGTAGATTGATTATTTTTGGAGATAGCATCCAGTTCATGGAAAAATTAGGGTAGTTTTCAATGTTACTTTTTTTTCAGCAAATTCACCCTAGGAAACTTGTTCAAAATAAGAGTACATATACCTTTGCTTTATGAACTTTTTTTGTAACTTGGCTGTTTTTGAATATAGCGCCCAGATCATGAACTAGTGGTGGTAGCTTTAAATACCTTTTTTTTCAAGAAATTCACAAGTGCTATTGGAAAATGGATCCGTGTTTTATTTGCAAGAAATTATTGAATGTTGCTGAAATTGTGGAAGTTCAGAGAAAAGGACTGGTAACTCTTCTAAATGCAAGTGTGGGTAGGGGCTACAAAGACAAAAAAAAATAAAAAATAAAAATTATTACTTACTACTACCCCAATTTGTTCATGAACTGGACATTATCTCCAAAAATAATGAAGCTACAAAAAAATCATGAGGAAAAGTTGCTTGTCCATTTATTATGAACAACTTTCATACGGGTCAATTTGCTGTAAAACAAACTTTTTGAACACCACCCCAAAGGGCTCATGAAACGGCCGCTAAGTCCGGAAATATTAAACTTATAAAAAAAATCATTAGGCGAACTTATAATGTTCTTATGTACAATTTGCTCTAATTATTTTGTTGTAGAAAAGTTTTCAAAAAAGTTTTAAAAAAATCACCCCTATTGCTCAAAAACCGCAAGGGGAAAATTTCCGACTTTGTTTATTTTACACTCAGAAGACAGCTGACAAACTGAAAAAATCAGCTTGCCCGTAGTTTTTTTTTTTCAAATGACAATTTTATTGGATTAGATAGGTTTACTGTGAAAGCTCTACTTTTCCATTCAAGCTCCTATGTCGTCTGACGTTCCTGAGCTGTGTCTACCTGAGCTACCTTCTATATGGTTATATAATTATAATAAAAACTAAGACATTTTATTAAATAACTGATATTCGACAAGTAATTATTATTATATCTCTTGAAAAACATTATGTCAAAAAGTTTCACGTTCTGCATGCAAATATACACTGAAATTTTCTATACCTATTATCGCTACTCTAAATGCTAATGAATGCAAAGATTAAATCTATCGGGTGACAAGTGTAATGCCATTCATTCTCTTTCTCAACGTAGTGGTCTTTCTCTTTAAACAGACTATGATGTAAAAAAATTGAATTCAATCATAACAGTACCTTGTTCAATCTAGAGTGCCACGACAATAAATATAACGACGATTTTACTCGAAATACCATGCAGGTATTTGGTTGTAGTAAAAATATGCTTTTTCTAAATATGCTAATAAAACACCATCGTTCCATTTGAAAAAATTGAGTTAAAAAGTTTGATTTTATTTAAAAATACGATTTGGGCATCTTTTAACTGGCCAGGGAAAGACCGCGACTTAATCACCGCGACCTTACAGATCTATTGTGTGTTCCCCTTTCTTGAGTTATTTAACGAGTTATAACTCATTAGTGTTGCACAAGACAAGAATTCTTGTCTTGAAAATCTCAATTTCTTGTCTTGTCTTGAAATTCAAGACAAGAAATTTTCAAAGTCTTGTCTTGCAGATTTCTTGAATGGCAAAGTCTTGACTTGTCTTGCAAGACTCTTGAAATTTATTGTCTTGAAAAATTTTACATTCTAACAAAAAGGTAATAATATTTCTATATGTTATTTCATAGAAAGCGTCGTATACCAAATGTAATACGGAAAAATGAACAACAACGATGCTAATTTTAGCAAAAAAAATCTTAACGGACCGCAAACGAATTACGTCAACTCGCCCGTTTGACGAAACAGGAGCCGTTACCAAATAAAAGCTGAATAAGAATAAGTAAGGTTAAGCTGAATAAGAATAAGTAAGGTTATTTTACTTTATTCTCAACTCTAAAACACTGGCTATGATAGAAAAAAAATAACACTGGTCAATATTAATGCCGGGTTTATATAACATTTGCAGATGTCGTAATCATAATCAGTCATAATCATCGTCATAATCACAACGCAATTTTAATGTGCGTTTATATAACATTTTCATAATCATAATTGCAAGAGTCTTGGTATCAGTGAAGTTGGGTAACATAATTAAAGGCTAAGTTCATGGTAGATGTCAACAGGTTTATAAGAAGTGGATAGTTTTACTTTTATGATTATGACTATGATTGTGATTACGACTATGTAAATGTTGGTTGCACAACCCGGCATAACTTGCGCAAAGACCTAATTATCACTTAAAAAAATTTATCATTTCTAACTTTCAAGAAATCTTGAATTCAAGAAATCTTGCAAAACTCTTGAAATTTCTTGCATATTAAAGTCTTGTCTTCTCTTGAAATTCAAGACAAGAAATTTTGAAAGTCTTGTCTTGAATTTCTTGCAAGAGTCTTGGTCTTACACGACTTTTTCAAGATTCATGTGCAACACTATAACTCATCATACAGTCTCAGGGCTTTAACAAAAGCCAGTATCTGAGACGGTTCCACAAAGGCCAGCTCTCCATCTTCGACATCAGCCGTACCAAAGTTCATGGCACGAACGGACCTTGTCTCGGCGCACTCAGTGATAAGGTGTTCTGGTGTTTCCCCATTTTCCCCGCAGAATCTGCATTCGCCGTTGTTTCTCAGCTTCAGCCTACTGAGGTATTCGTTGAGAGTGTCCTGTAGAAACCCCGTGACAATCCGAAGATTGTATTTACTTAAATCAAGGAAAACCTTTGATTTTTCTCGGTCGTAAGTTCTGAGGAATTTTTTCGAGTGTCTTAGACTGTTGGAGGACACCGATTCCAAGTTACGGATGGAGTCTTCCAGATTCTTCAGTTCCGCTATCAGTTGGTTCCCGTTTGGAAAACAGAACTGTTCTGGTCCAGTTAGAGGAGTGTTCGCTCCTTTTCTAGCTAGATCATTTGCTTTTTCATTGCCTTCTATTTCTTGGTGAGCAGGCACTCAGAGTAGGAAGACTTTATTTTCTTTGCCTAATTTGTTGAGCTTCTCTAGGCATTCTTTGACCAACTTCGAATCGATAGTTACTGAGTTGATCGCATTTAGTGCTGCTTGACTATCGGATAAGATGGTTATTTCCTGTTTTTGATACTTCCTATCTAAGATAAATTGTACGCATCTTTCGATAGCGTAGATTTTTGCCTGAAGGATACCTGGGTAGGTGCCCATTGGTTCGGAGTATTTAGTTTTTTAAATACTCCTATCCCTGTCCCTGCTTTGGTTTGGAAGGATCAGTATACCACGTTATGGTATGGTCTTTTACTCCTTTATTAAACATTTGTAGTTTTAACAGAGCCATGACACTCTAGGTTTAAAATGCTAGTTTTTTATTGTTAATTTTAAAAATTTATTTATTACAAGAATTAATAAATTTACCATTTAAAAATTACAAGAAAAAAAACACATACTAACGAATAAAGAGAGTATTTTTACTAATTACCTTGCCTACTTATAAAACCAAATCGTAGATTCATTTTTATTCAAAATTTTGCCATTTTTTTGTTTTAATAGCCCATAAACTACAATCATACGACCATAACCTCGTTTCCACTCGTCTAGAAGTATAAATTAAATTAGCAACAAATTCATATATCATCGGCAAATCGCATAGATAAAAGTAGAAAGTCGAATTCGTCCATTTTAAATGCTTCATTTCAATATTAAAGTAGTTTAACATTAAAAGTACGGTTTAATCGCTTATTAATTAGTTGAAATACAGTTATAAAAAATATATTATAATGTTGAAAATTAAAATTCGAAAAAAATAAAATTCAACATTTCATATTAAGACAGCCATTACATTGGATGCGAATTCGTACGGAGATTTGGCCCTCTTTTATTTTAAATGGAACACTCAGTATATTATTCCTATATTCAGTTGAGTCTCTTCAAAATACCTATTAAGGATGTTTACCCCTCTGACAAAGATTTTCCTAAATATTTTCATTTTTATGATTTGTCAGTAGATCTTTATTATTTGAAAAAATCTAGGTGGCTCTGATATACCTAACGTTGATTTAAGAAAAATCAAAGGATGCAGATGTAAAATACTCAACGTTAATAAAGAGGTACAAGTTTGCAACATATTTTAATTATTACAGAATCACAATCCCATATGTAAACTTATAATTATATAGCAAAAATTAATTAGATGATATTAAATGCTCAAAATACTTCCCCTCTTGTTCACTGTATAAAATGATTCTTTTTTCAAAAGATCTTTTCACATTAAGAGGCATTTGTTGAGTTATACTTCCAAAAGCATGTTAAAGCTGATATTCTCAAAACTTTTCTAGAACCACCTATCGCCAACGGTACTAGTTATTTCTGTATTTGTTTTTAATTTGTTCTTTCAATAATCCACGCCGCCTATTCTACT